ACCATTTTACCGATGTCCTTACTGCGTTTCTGATTTCATCAAAAATATCTTAATTGGTGTTTAACAAAGGTCTTGCAGGTTTGGAACGACATGAGGGCGAGTAATTAATGACAGAATTTTATTTTTTGGCGGAACTATCCCTTTAGTGTCATGTCATTTAAAAGAGAGACGATGGAAGAGAGTGATGTTGGGGAATAGTGTACATACTGCCTCAAATCCAATATAAAGCACTTAGCTAAAAATGATAACCTAAACACCCAATACCTAAATAAATACAGCATGTTTTAAGGCTACCATACCCCGTTCTCCTTTTCTGCCTGACCTCTTCGCCTTTTTGTTTTCCTTCTTTCTTTTTTTGCTTCTCTTCTTGCCAGACTTCTTTTTACGCTTCTTTTTCTTCTTTTCCTCATCCGAAGAGTCAGAGGTAGAGCTGGAGCTGGAGTCATCAGAGCTTGAATCAGTGCTAGTATCAGTGCTGGAGTCCAACATCATGGCCTGTGGCTCCTCATCTTCAGTGGCCGTTATCTCCATGTTCCCATCTGTCAAATGATGAAACAAACACAAATAAACTTTAAAGTGTAACTTCACCCTCTGCTCTGCACCTATACCCACTGCATAACTTTGAAGAATATTATTAATGTGGTGGAGATTACATTGTGTCTAAGGAGACATTAGAGAATTACAAATAATGTAAACAAAATCTCTTAGGTTTCATATATACAAAAACAAGAAAATGCATTAGTGTTCTACTTTCAAGCTGCATTGTGTAGAACTTACTATAACTGTTAGAATATTTCAGTAAATTCTACCCAGGGTAGAGGCAGCAAGTCCTTAGGCTATATAGAAGTGAAGTAATTTCAATTATTTATTCAAATTCCTTGCAAATGACAGTAATTAACAGCTAAATATGTAAATATCATGGCCCAAATAAGAGACATATTTATATGTAAATATACTTTTGTCAATATTTTTTATCTGACTGATAAAAAAAAACACTCTGCTAGGGTTTGGCATCTGTTTATTATTGATATTAAGCAGAGTTAAACACTGAATATAGACCTATAGATGGAAAAAGTAGATTGCTACTTAAGGCAACCCTTTTTTTCAGTTACACATATGGACAAAAAGCAGTTGCATATAGTCTTAAATTAAATTATTTGAGGATTAACTGCATTATTGATCCTACAAATTGTCCACCTAAGTATCTACATGCACTAAATGTAAAATTTGAAACCAAAATCTTAATTAGGTACAAAATAATATGGAAAGGCTGGCAATAATATTTTTTAAACATAGCTAAAATATTGTAGTGATGCTGGCAGAATTCTTTTGAAGCCTACACAAGTTCTGGAGAGCCATCTGCTCTACCTGTACATACCTTGTTCTTGTGCAGACTTATCTTCAAGTTGCTTCTTGAGCAAGCCATTTTCCTCCTCCAGCTCATCCACCCGAGACTGGAGCATCTCAGCCTTCTTTCTCCAGAGAATATGTTGTTTAACAGGCTTGAGACTGTCCATCTTATCAGCTGCAAAATATGACATGAAAAATAACTAATACATGTCAGCACAGAGTCAAAAGTTGTTTGCATTATGACGTTAATAACTTAGATCAACACAACATCCCCCAGCCCCCAGCTAGCCTGGTTGCCCGTTTGTTATACCTTTTAACGTGTGTTCAGACCAACAGATTTAAGAAAAAAATAATACATGAATTATTGAACTGATTGAATCACTTTCAATTCGATCGGACGCATGCTCCCGTGACGCATCGTCCAGCACGAATTTGTATCAATTCGTGTCTTTTAATTGACTTTGTATATAATTGCGTCACGCGACATATCAGCTTCATGTAAGCTACTTTTTTTCATTTATAATCACAACTTACCACTTTTGTTTGTGGAATCTCCTTCTTCGCCCTGGGTATTTCCCCTCCGTGCCATTGCCCGGGTAAAATGCATGGTGCCCAGCACACTGCTCCCATTGCCATGTGAGGGGCGGTAATGCGCTTGATCAAACATGTTATATTTATGCTGAGAAGAAAATTGAGATAGCGATTTTGGTTAACATGCAAGTAATAGCGACCGCTTTCTAAAAATAAAAAAGAACAATATTTCCAGTGGAGTTAACTCTTACCATCTAGACCGCCAAATTAAATTTTCAGATAAGTAGGCAGTGCGACTTGGCCAATCCGATTGTAGAAGTGCTCGGTCACGAGTCAACTCTGCCAACACTCAACCATGATAGGTGTGTCTGATAACATATTTAGCCAATAAAATGAAAGTGCGCCAGTTTTTAATTTTTGGGTTGTCTTGGTCGATAAATTGACAGACAGTTACTAGCTCGATCTGCCGGCTCTATGGATTCACTGGAGAGAAAACTTTTGACTAAAGTTTATGTTAGAGAAACTAAAAAATCATCTTTAAAATTAATCAAATGGTTGCAAATGATTGGCTTGTTAAAACGCAAAATTAAATGCAAAAACTGCGGGCATAAAATGAACATGGTTCCCTCCCAGACCAAGGATCATTACATCTGGTAAGAATAAATTCTTGAAAACTATAGGTTCATATTTTGTTTTGCAATAGGTAGTTAACCATGTAGATAGGGTTACCTCCTTGGCAAACATTAGTAAGTTATATTAGTAGAATGCCGCTATTCCTACTGTAGGAGGGCATTTTGTGCTATACATTAATATTTGCTAACATTTAAAGTCTTAAATTCATTTTGTTTATATATAAATTTAAGGTCATAGAAACTCTTAAATATAAAGTGTATAAAAATCTTTGTAATTATTTTAAATGGTATTCTGGGGAAGGAAAAGCTAAATGCCTTATTAAACTTCAAAAAAAGTATTAAAGTTCAAAAAGCTATTATTTAAATAAATGTTGCGGGTTCTACTGGTGCGCGGTTTCCGAGCAGTTGGTAATGATACAGCACGCAGTGATTGCTTTTGATGTGCACTTAATGAATAATGACAATATACAGTACTTAACGGTGTTTATGTTATATTGTAATTTATTATAGATCGAGCGCAATTTTTTATCACGATTTTACTTCCATTTTTAGCTAATCTGTTTAAATGAGCAGCTGGAAGTAGTAAAAACACAGATATTTCAAAATAAGAGTGTCTGTGTATTTCGGGTTTGTTTATAATTAGAAGCCCCACATCATGCCCCGCAATTTCCCCACTGATTACCATTTCTATTTTGGAGTAAACTGGATCAAATATGTGGTATTTAATTCGATGTAAGCTCTTGTAGCTTCTCTCTGGGCTGCCCGTCACAACAAATAACTACAACGGATTGTTTTTTTTATTTTTTATTTTTTAACACAGATGTTACAATGAGCACAGTAATCAGTTTATTGTTTTAATGTAAACACCTGTATTTAAAAATAAATAAATAAAATATTGATCAACATCTAAATCATAACAACATGATTTTTTACAAGATT